GTATTGCATGTTTTTGGAATGTGGGCCGAAACCGCAGGCACCCACGCAAGCACGGGAAGGACATGCAAACTCCACACAGGAAGGGGGGAGCCGGAATCGAACTCACGACCTCTGCACTGTGGGGTTAATGCGCTAACCACTGGACCACCATAAAAATGTATCTGCATCCAGATGATTTTATTTCGGGCAACCACTTGATCAAATCTAATTGATTAAATTCAACACACCGTTTTTTTTTCAGTGTATGTGTACCTCTTGACAATTGTGTGTATTAAATTGAGGCATATTAAAAAGTCATGTGCCCTAACACACACCGTCATCATCATGGAGTTAAAACAATTCTTCCCCCCCAGCCGCCAAAGCTTTATTCGCATAACAACCAGACACCCGAATATGTTGACATGTATTTCTGGAAGCTGGGAGGCAGGACAGGTACTTTTTGTCTGTGTATGTCAAGGCAATGTGAGGCATGTTAAAGCTTTGCCTGACTCACAGGTTCATGCACTTTGTAATCAAAACAATCCATCTCAAATCCATGTGGAATAACACCCACACACCCGTGCATGCAGGTCTCGAGGCTGGGTCTCCAGTAACATATTAATACATGATAAAGGGAAATCAATGCTATGAATATACCATACAATTCCAAAACCAAAGCCCAAAATCCTTTTCCCTGCACTGCGTGACTCATTTCCCTGAGGGTTTACTCGCTTTATGCAAATAAGGCCACTCTTTACATTGACATAATGAGGTAATTACAAATCATTCAGTGACAAGCTGACGCGAGTGTGTGCGTGTAGCTGCGCCGCGCAATTTACAGTATACTGTTAAGGAACGGCAGCATGTGTCGCATCACGTGTTGTGTCCAGAACTTTTGTTTCGGGAAAGCAAAGGCACTTGTCTCATTTTGACTGAGAGGCGGCTCATTTTTTGGGGGGGTCTTTGTTACAGCCTTTACCATTTGTGTTTCATTTTATTTTGCAGCAAATGTTTGTGTGTTGTTAAAAATATTCTTCAGCTTCAGCAAACTAAACATGCCGCGTCTATCACCAACCTCCACCAACACCGTTTTTCAAATAGTTACAAAAGATACTTTCTGCATGAGGTTTGATTTCACACTTGAGACCCAACGATTTGTGTAAAGTCAATTTAATAAGTCCATTTTCCTTAAGACCCCTAAAAATGATCTTCCAGCAGACATTTAAGCCATATATCACCTATTTCTTGTGAACATATGCCAACAAACATTGATAAACTTCCTTCCTTCCCAGAGCAACTTGTTTAAGTTCCTAAGCAGATTTATGATCCATGTAAATGCTGGACGATGTTTATCTTCTTCCCGCTGCTCCCTCTTTGTCGCCGCGCAGCCATTACGCTCTTAACTTCCCTTTTTATTACGCCGTGTTAATTAAGGAAAATCATATCTGGCGCATCACTCACCGGCTGGCTTTCGGTCGCACGCACTCTCCTGGTGTTAATTTATTTGTAATCGTCAGGAACTTGTTGATGAAGAGCTGGCGGATAAACACGGTCAACAGGTTAATGCTCAGCATAATGTGACGAGGTGATTGTTCCAGGATGCCACCTGCAACCACGCGGTAATAACAGAAGCTCTAATGGCCTCTTCACGGGCTCCTCGTTGCAGGTTGCCTGTAAAGCTCACAGCAATACAAGCTTTAGGCGCATTGTTCATGCTAAGATTTAGTGCGCCTCGGGAAAAAAAAAAAAAAACACTTGCATGCAGCGGGATTACTTTTCAGTGCAATTGCCACACGGTGAGGGACTAACGTGTTATGCCGATTATTATCTTCGACAATTTTTAAAATGTGAGAGAATCCACCAATGATGTGGGAAAAAAAATCGAGAAGTGTGTTCTTACTGCTTTTATAGTGTGGAGTGTATTCAAGCTGACCAACGGCGCTTATCTTCCACTTCTGTGGCTTTTAGGTGGTTTGTCGCCAAGGCCCATGAATCGTCACTCGAGCTCTTGCTAGTCGCTCCTCTGCTACCTGCTCTCGCTAGCCATTCTTGCTAACTGCTGCCGTTGCTAATTGGACCTCGAGGAAGCATTCATCGTCGCTGACTTTTTCTCAAGCACATCAGGGTCCCACTGGTGAAAGAAAACGAATTTGTTGCGGGAAATATTGAACAGCTTTAATATTTTCTTCCTTTCTATTGTTTGATCAGATATGGGTGGAAAAAAATCACTCTTAATGCACACCACGCGACAGGTTAATCACACATGAAAATCAATTTGTGAGAATCAACAGTCGAGGCTTTGCTGCCATTGATCTGTTGGGGGTGAGGGGTGGGTGATGAAACTTGGCTCCATTGTTGGTATGTGGGTACCCTTCTTTAAATATGAGCTTCTTTCATGGCTATTTTTACAAGAGTGCATTCGTGTGCATGGCGAATTAGATTTGTTTTCCCTTCTCTGCTCATCAGTTTAGGAAGTCAGCCATCCTTTGAATTTTTAATCTCCATAATGAAAGTCTTTTAATGCCTCCAATTTATTGCCTGGGCAGCCAACAGAGTAATTAGCTTTGTACTATTTTTTCCCCCCTTTAAAAAAATGTAAGAAGGAGTAAAATAGCATTTGTGTCTGGGAATAGCAAATTATATTGGAGCTTCTAAATTTGAACCAATTCTGACACAGCAAATCTGCTTATTTTCATATTCAGAAGCATTTTGTGAACAAATGAATAATGGACAGAGAAATCATCGGTTGAGGGGTCAATTAGTGGCCATTTGTTTTTGCTGATGTTTATACAGAATGACATCACATGACTGTCTCTCCTCTCCAGCATGATGTTACACATCCAGGTAGATACTGTCCTACATACTGTATGTTGTGACTTTAATACCCTTTCTCCGAAGGAGGAATACTTCTGTGTCGTCCCTGCTCCTCAATCTTTGCTCGTGCCGTTCATACAGACATAAAAAAAGTGGATTTTGTCTTTACAGGCAGTGCAAAAGGGACTGTAGACTGCCTGTATGTCTATATTTATACCCTAAGCCCCTACTAGCTCTTGCTAGTGGCAGCCCCCGATTAATACCTCCCCACTTGTAACTGGAAATAAAGAGGAGACCTGTAGTCGATTGCGCAAACGGAATCAGATAATTGAAGTCGGTGTGGAGCTAATTGGATTATGGCTTCTGCCACGGCGCGGCATTACAAGCATCCGTCACACGTCTGTCATTTAAAAGCCTCGTCACAGTGCCCGGGAGCCGCCATTGATTACAAACCGCGGCCATTGCTGTCAATTAGCAAGTCGTACAGAGTTAATTTCAAGTGAATGGATTATCCTGTGTGTCTAATAAATACGCTTTGACTTGCAGCATCAAATTTGTCTTGAAAACTGCAGTGGAATTTCTGTAATGGAGAAATAATCACCGAAGGAATGGCTACCCTGAAAAAAAAGGTTTTGTTCAATTGACTAAATTTTATTTCATCAAGTAGTTGTCGAAATAATGTGGGGAACCAGGCTTATTTTTTTAAGTAGACGATACATTTTCTGATCCGCTTCTCCTCACAAGGGTCGCGGGGGGTGCTGGAGCTTATTCCAGCTCTCTTCGGGCAGGAGGCGAAGGACACCCTGAACCGGTTGCCAGCCAATCGCAGGGCACACAGAGACGAACAACCATGCACACTCACACTCCCACCAAGGGACAATTTAGAGTGTTCAATCAGTCTGCCATGCATGTGTTTGGAATGTGGGAGGAAATTGGAGTACCCGGAGAAAACCCACGCAGGCTCGAGGAGAACATGCAAACTCCACACAGGAAGGCCGGAGCCGGAATCGAACTCACGACCTCTGCACTGTGGGGTTAATGCGCTAACCACTGGACCACCATAAAAATGTATCTGCATCCAGATGATTTTATTTCGGGCAACCACTTGATCAAATCTAATTGATTAAATTCAACACACCGTTTTTTTTTCAGTGTATGTGTACCTCTTGACAATTGTGTGTATTAAATTGAGGCATATTAAAAAGTCATGTGCCCTAACACACACCGTCATCATCATGGAGTTAAAACAATTCTTCCCCCCCAGCCGCCAAAGCTTTATTCGCATAACAACCAGACACCCGAATATGTTGACATGTATTTCTGGAAGCTGGGAGGCAGGACAGGTACTTTTTGTCTGTGTATGTCAAGGCAATGTGAGGCATGTTAAAGCTTTGCCTGACTCACAGGTTCATGCACTTTGTAATCAAAACAATCCATCTCAAATCCATGTGGAATAACACCCACACACCCGTGCATGCAGGTCTCGAGGCTGGGTCTCCAGTAACATATTAATACATGATAAAGGGAAATCAATGCTATGAATATACCATACAATTCCAAAACCAAAGCCCAAAATCCTTTTCCCTGCACTGCGTGACTCATTTCCCTGAGGGTTTACTCGCTTTATGCAAATAAGGCCACTCTTTACATTGACATAATGAGGTAATTACAAATCATTCAGTGACAAGCTGACGCGAGTGTGTGCGTGTAGCTGCGCCGCGCAATTTACAGTATACTGTTAAGGAACGGCAGCATGTGTCGCATCACGTGTTGTGTCCAGAACTTTTGTTTCGGGAAAGCAAAGGCACTTGTCTCATTTTGACTGAGAGGCGGCTCATTTTTTGGGGGGGTCTTTGTTACAGCCTTTACCATTTGTGTTTCATTTTATTTTGCAGCAAATGTTTGTGTGTTGTTGAGTAATCACTGTTGTTTTTTGTTGTTTTTTTTTTGTTGTTTTTTTTTTTTTTTTTTTTACAAGTCAGAATTTGCGCATTGGTTGATACAAGAAAATAAATTAATTGAAAACAGGTTACAAAAAGTGAGTGTATTTACTCAAAATGAATAGGGTTTGTGATTTGTGTCAAAATACCGATTTCCTCTCAATTGTGAAGCATAGGCGCCAACAACTATCCTTGATAATCACTCCCTGTTGACTCTGTGAATACTAATGTCGATCTTGTTTTTTGTTTTTTTTTTGAATAAAACAGAACAAGAAGATTCCTTCGAGTTCATCATCGTGTCGCTGACGGGTCAGACGTGGAACTTTGAGGCATCCACGTACGAGGAGCGCGAGCTCTGGGTGCAGGCCATCGAGAGTCAAATCTTCGCCAGCCTGCAGTCATGTGAGAGCATCAAGAATAAGGTACTTTACACCATCTGCCACGTTATTTCCATTTTTTTTTCCCCCTCCCTCATTTTCCCTCCAAACTCCATTGCTCCCTCCTCATTGCTGTCACACATGCGAGGCTGTCAGACAGGTGCGCAGCAGTGTTGTCTTATTGCAAGTGACAGGCATCACAGACAGAAGCCGGCTTGTGTCAGCACGCCTCATTTACATATTTTATTTTGTCGGAGTCTCCTTTCTCCTCTGCCCTCTCAGCCTGCGCGATGGTGCTCCATTTCTAACCGTTGCTCTTCTCCTCTGCCGATGAGTTTGCCGCGACTCATTCCTTCTCTTTCTCCGCAGTCTCGATTAGGCAGCCAGAGCGACGCCATGGCCATCCAATCCATACGCAACGTGAGGGGCAACAGCTTCTGTGTGGATTGCGATGCAGCGAGTGAGTAGATTTGGTTCACAAACTGCATATAAAAGTCTAAACACCATGCAGCGGTAAACAGAAATAAATATTTACGACGGAGGGGGATTCTGCCCTACCACAAATCTATAATTTATGATTATGATATAAATCATTTATAATGACAGTTTAAAACGTAATGATACATACCATACACTGTGATCCTGAAAGTGTTTAATAATAGCATTACAAACTCATCTTACAATATTACTCAAAAAAATAAATGGCTTATAGATGATCTGTTTTCGGAAAAATGCACATGTACATGTGCTGAACTTCCTCTAACAACCCAGACTAAAGTTGGCTCCTCCCCAACATACAGAGCTGATCTTTCAGTCGAGACGTAGCACTTCAACATATTTCCCTGGCACTGGTACTTCCCTGTCCTATTTTCCTGTTAGAAAGTGCTTTGTTATCATCTTGTGGTTGTCTTTGGGCATTTCAGAGCGACCTCAAAAAAGATGGATAGGTGAGTTTTTCAGCAAATAGCGACAGATAAGTTCCACAGGAAAAAAAAGAGAAAACTCCACACTGGAAGGCCAGAGCCCGGATTCAAACCCAGAACCTCAGAACTGTGAGGCAGACTAGCCCACTGGAAACAAAAAAATAAACTCTTTACCTGAACATTTTAACAAGTGAAAGCACGCACAGTGACACTTTTTGACTTTTATCCTCGGTTAAAGTGCCGCAAAAAGTCAAAAAGAAGCCTCGTGTTAATACAAATGCTGAAGTGTGATGTTTTGTACGTCACACCGCGCAGATCCGGACTGGGCCAGTCTGAACCTGGGTGCCCTGATGTGCATCGAGTGCTCGGGCATCCACAGGAACCTGGGCACCCACCTGTCGCGTGTGCGCTCCTTGGACCTGGACGACTGGCCCGTGGAGCTCAGCATGGTGATGACGGCCATCGGCAACTCCATGGCCAACAGTGTCTGGGAAGGCGCCCTGGAGGGCTACAGCAGGCCAGCCAGCGACAGCACCAGGTGAGAGCCGCAATCAAATGCGGTCATCCAACATGTTTGGTTGCATTACAAAAGCCCACAACTCGAATCTGCAACATGCTGCCATTTTGTGTGACCGTAACACTATGCAAGTGGTACGTGCTTTTTTTTTCCCTTTGGTCAAAATTGTACTATGCAAGTGGTACGTGCTTTTTTTTTTCCCTTTGGTCAACATTTTAACCCGATAACATGATAAGATGTCCACGGAAGTAACCTCTGTCTTAACCCTTTCATGCACCCTGTTACCCGATAACATGACAAGATGTCCACGGTAGTAATCTCTGTCCCTGAAAGGGTTCAGCAAACATCCACTCATGAAACAGATGTAACAAACTTGTTACCACCATTTTATCTCCTAATTTTCTCTTCATTTGCTGGGCGACCATAATTCACGCCGAGCATAGAGTGTGACATCATTTAGCAGCTCACCGCTAAATGTGTTGACTCGCTCCAAATCCATTAAGTTCCTCACTAGACATGTAAGTGTTAATCGGGGGAAAGGATTAAAAGAAAAAAATGCCGGCCCACCATCAGGTCCTCTGTGAAGACGTGCGAGGTGGAGGATTGTTTATCTCGCGGTGACAGGTAAGGCCTGGCGTCCCGGGCTGACTAATGGCCTGCTGTGTGGCGGTGCAGGTAATTAAGCCCACCATTATGGTTTAAGCCTAACCCCGAGAGCTGGACCCTCAGGCCCCGAGAGGCCGCGTCACATATCCATCACCGGGGCCGGGGTCATCGCTCTGTCTGTCACGGCCGCCACTGTCTGAACGTTCTCCCCGCTGGCACTTTGGACTTACTGGGGAAAAGTGAAAGATGCACATTCCATTCTATAAGGCATCCCGTTATAAAAAAAATAAAAAATACAGGTAGTCAACACCTATGCAGACATTTTTTTTAAATCAATTGTTTCAATTGAATGGATCTAGAGTGACCAATGTTTCTCGACCATTTATGGAGCCAGTTTACGTTTGGAAAAATTCCCGGCACAACACTTAATTATCAGAGTCGCAAAAAGTATATATGTACTGCGAAAAAAGAACATCTTTTAAACATACAGGATACTGTATTCACAAATGTATTTACTCGGTCTGAAAACAAAGCTAATATTAAGTTCAATGGACGGGTCTATTTTCATACATGAGCCGCATTATCTTTATGAAGAATTGGAAGTTAAATAGTTCTAATTGGATCTTCATTTGATATTTTTGTCATACGTCAGCCGGGCATGAAATTCCAAATTTAACCCACTTCTCTGAGGTTAAATTTGCTCCGGAGTAAGCTGTTTTCCGGGGCTACCCCGGAGCAAATTTGCATGTGTGACCGCTACATGGCGCAGCGCCGGCGTAGCACCGGAGCAAATGTTGCCGTGTGAACACCCCTTAAGGCGCACAGAAAAGTCCTCCATTTTCTTAAAAGATCACAGCGCGCCTTAAAATCCAGTGCACCTTGTGTATGGTCATTACGGTAATAAGTCGACCCCAAGATGGCTCCTTGCTGGAGACATGCTTACAATGTTATAACTTGCTGTTGGTTCAGTGAACTGTGTCACTGCTTTTTGCTTTTGTTGCAGCTCTGAAAAAAGGAAAGCTGGGGTGTTGTTTTTTTAAAACGCACACTTTATTAATGGTTTTCACAGTCTCAGCAAATACAGGTACGTCTTTGTCCGTGTGCCTTCTCTTCTTCCATTCGACTCGAGAGGCGTTCATGACCACCTCGAAAAACGTAAATTGAAGATTCCTTCAATGAAACTACAAAAATGGAAAATAATGCTTCAAAACAGAAAATCAAGCGAGGAAATCACAAAATAAATTCTACAGCCCCACTACAGAATTTATTTTGTGATTTCCTCGTTTGTGAATACAGTACACAACAAAGGAAGAAATAACAAACACTTCTGAGACAGTCCAGTCTCCTCCGATTTACTGACATCTGATCGTTCTGTTGAAGCTATGCTCAAGGAAATGCCAAAATAAATTCTGTCGGGGGGGCTATAGAATTTATTTTACGATTTTCTGTTTTGATGCATTACTGTATTTTCCATTTTCGCAGTTTCATTGAAGTAATCATTAATTTTAAAAGTTTTGGGAGTCTGTCATGTACGCCTCTCGAGTCTTAACGGAAGAAGAGAAGGCACGGCGACAGACAGACGTACCTGTAGCTCCATCTAGTGGATGCATTGTAGATTGCGCCTTATAGTCCAGTGCGTGCAATATATGAAAAAAAAATAGTCAATAGGCCATTCATTGAAGGTGTGCCTCATAATCCAGTGCACCTTTTAGTGCGGAAAATACGTTACTGTACGTAAAGTGGCTGTAATTCTTGATCCTTGAGGTATTTTAATAAATCATGTCACAGCTGGGTCATTCCGACACCAGGGAGCTGTCGTAGTAGTAAAAACAATGCCTAGTGTCTTGTCGAAGGTCACTGATACTTTTGCTGTATTTGAAGGAGTCAAAAGATTGTGCCAAGCCTTCACTGAGAAAGAGTTTGTGATGGTTTTTGGGAGTTTTCAGATGCAAAGGCACCAGGCCGCCTCTTTCCTCTTGCCACTTCTGCACTGAATGATGGCCCACAGTTATTTATCGAATGCTTTCTGCTCTAAATTGCTCGCGCCAGTCGTCCCGATGAAAGATTATTGATGTTGATTCCTCTCGCTACCGCTGTCACTCGTCCCCGCGTGTCGCCAGGGGAAGGAAGGACCTTCATTGTCTTCGAAAATAAATAAATAAAAGACCTTATCCCCGGAGCGGCATCTCCATTATTTTCCGCTGTCAAACAATAAATCTTATTTGCGGCATAAGTAATCTTCAGAGAGGTTGTAAAATATCACATGGTTAGCGCGAAGCTCTTGTGTCTCCTATGTTGTTGCTTTATCATGAATGATGAATTATCGCTCGCTTAATGGGATTCCTTCTCTTTTTCCACGCCATAAATCCTCACCTGACGTCTTTTTCTTTTTGCCGCGCGTCGTCATTTTGATGATTTTTAATTGTGTCCCGCCGACGACGAGCGGCAGCTTTGTGGCGCCCCTGCTCCCGCTAAACATTAGTGACACCTCATCGAAACGACTCAGTAACTACTCGAGTATCAACCGGCTGTCTGATTGAATGTCTCCTGCAACACTAGTTTTACCCCCTACTGCTCTCTTCTTTTTTCTTTTTTTTTTGGCGATTTAACGTGAATGCGTTCATCCACGAGACGGCTTCAGTTTATGGAGAACGCCAGTCATAGCCAGACAGACTGAGAGATTACTCGGGTACATCAGACTGATTGCAGGCATGGTAATGGGATGCCTGTTTTCCATTTCCATTAACGCGCTCGTCGTTACCTACAGCGGGATTGGCCGAGCTCACCAAAGTGCATCATGTACTGTATTGCCATAACATCAACATACACTCACAACGCAACAGATTTGAAACATTTCTCACAAATATGAATCATTTGGGAAATGCAAAGGATGTGAAGCGACTTTGGCCGGAGAAGTTAACCACTGTGTATTAAAAGGAAATAAAACTACAATAAAATAAAACTACTGGCGTTTTAAGACGCCACGTAATGGTGAGGCAACAAGATCTTTACAGGGCGATTCTGAATGAATCAATCTTGCATCTCGGGAGCCGAGGCAAGAATAGGGCAAATGATTATTATTTTTTAATGGAGCATGCCATACAATTCTAATCATTATTGAATCATGCATCGCTCTGGATGGAGAATAATCATTCTTAAAATAATAGTTCTTGTAATTCTATAGAAAGGAAGTTTATCCTTTTGTGCCTGTTAGAACTTTTGTTTGAGTAAATACAGTTGTATAAATATAATCGCTCGTTCTCGTTCATCTCAAATATGTTGAGGGGGTTTGAGCTCTAAAATTGTTCCGCACCAAACTCATCCCAGCATGGAGCTGGCTTTCTGCGCTGGGAACAGAACGGGATCTTTTCCTAAACTCTTCCCACAGAGTTGGAAACGTACAGTCGGCCATAAATATCTCGGTAAGATGCCAAATGAAGTGTCAGTGTGCTACCCCAACTGGTCATTGATCGATCAATTGATTATTTTGTGACATTTGTGGGCGTTTCGTGCATTGACTGCATTCGGCAAATATTGGAAGGGAGTTGTTCTTTTCATTAGCACCCGGCAGTCATCGTGTTTTGCACGTCGCCTCTAATTGCTTGGCGAGTTTGTGATAGAAAATAGCACACACGCACACACACACACACACACACACACATCCACACATCCACACACACGCACGCACAGAAAGAGAGACAACAGTTCTCATTTTTTGGGGAGGGGAGATTGTCCCGGAGGACGGGCCAACACGCACGGCTATCCCTCACTGGCACGGGCCCCTCGCCGTCACCCTCTGTGGGCCGCGCGCCGCCTAAGGCCACAGCCAGGTAATAGCTCTGATGAGAGCCCTCCACTTTGTTTCAGAAATAATTTGCCACTCCTGCCGCCTGCAGGGGCTGCGCAGTAATAAAAATGAATCACACCGCTAACCTCTCCAAACTTGTACTCCCCCACCCCCGCTCCCCCCTTCCTCCAAGCCGACAACAACGCTTTAACCCCTTCTCCACTGACACCTCTTAACATTAGTCTCTTAAAAGAACAACTCACAAGTTACAAGCACCAGAACTCCCAGAAGAGCTTTCGAATAGCCTCAAGCTCTCATGGCGGAAGAGTAATCAATTAGGATGACTGAATGACTCTCTCGCTGTCTCTCCCTCTCTCTCTCCCGCTCTCTGTCTAAATCAAAGCCACAGGTCAGTAATTAGGCCTGTGTGCGAGAACCACACTCACTAATTACGCCCCCATGCCACCAAATTGACTGGCACACAAAACTTTTGTTTGGACATTTTAAGATGTCAAATCAGGTCTCACTAGTCTGCTGAGTCTGTGGCTAAGGTCGTTTTGGGGTTGAATGCAGGCGTTGCGATCGTAAATATTGGACAGGTTTAGCGTTTACGATTGTTATGCCGAGC